GTGCAAGGATGTGGTTTTTTATAACATGGGTACTACTCAGCCATAAAGAACAAGAAACTAGAGACATTTATGGCTAAATGGATGCATACTGAGGCCATACTCTTAAGTGAAATGAATAGGACACACATGTGTAAATACCGAATAGTATCTCTGGTGTGAGAAACTGAAAGTGTAAATAAGGATTAAAATGATTAAAATGAATAATCGATAATTTGAAATAGGAATAAAAGGCTCTTTTCTGTACATTTTTGCCCACATTTGTTATCTGTAATCTTTCTGAAAATATGCATTCCTACTGGAATTAGGTAATATGTTATTAAATTTTTTTTCCTGGTGATTTGTGACGTTGTATGCTTTTTCCTATACCTGTTGTACATTTGTAGGTCTTCTTTTGAGACATGTATATTTAGGTCTTTTGCCCATTTTTAATGTTGTGGGGGGGTTGCTATTGAGTTATTAGCATTTCTTATATATTCAAGATATTCATCTCCTGTCAGATGTACAGTTTGCAAATACTTTCTCCCATAAGTAGGTTGTTTTTTCACTTTGATGATTGTTTTGTTGAGCAGAACATATTTAGTTTGATGTAATTCCAACATTTGTCTATTGTTCCTGGTTCTTTTGGAACCCTGTGTAAAATATCCTCTCCCATTCCAATGTATTGAACTGTTTCTTCTATATTTTCTTCTAATAGTATCATAGTTTCTGGTCTCACATTGAAGTTTCTTATGTATTTTTTATTTGAATTTTGTAAATGGTAAATGATAGGTTTCAAGTTTTGTTCATCTGCATGCTGACATCTCATTTTTCCAGAACTATTTGTTGAAGAAACTATGCTTTCTCCAATGCATATTTCTGGCAACTTTGTTGAGAAGCAGTTGGCTGTGGATGCACAGGTGTATTTCTGGAATCTCTCTTCTGTTCTGCTGGTAACACATGTGTTTTTGTTTCAATACCTTTTGTAAAAGAAAACTGATATAGTTTGAAAGAGTTCTTCAAAATTCATGTGCTGGAAACCAATGCAACTGTGTTGGGAGGTGTTATGGCTTGTGTCTACATGTCCCCTCATAGCGTCATGTGCTCATAGGTAGGGCTTTTCAGAGGTGGCTGGATCAAGTGTGTCAGAATATGGATTAATGGTGTGTTGTGCTTTGTGTCTAGATGTCCCTGCAAAGTCCCATGTGGTCATAGGGCTTACTCAGAGGTGGCCAAATCTTGAGGTGTGATGCTGGGATTAAGGCTATGTGATTACTAAATCAGTCCATTGACTGGCTTGGCATCACCATCATCCCAGTAGTCTGGATAAGACAAAAGGGCTAGAAAGACACTGTTAAGGTCCCTTGTTGCTTTTGCTACCATGTGGGCATCATGAACTGTTTCTCCTCAGTGATGCCCCTCTGCCATGTGTCACCCTGCATTGGAGCCAGGAAGTGATGCTCAAGATGAAGACCATAGCTCCTCTGTGTAGGGGGCCCTGCCCCACCGCTGGAACTCTTGAGTGCCTTCTATGGACATGCCCGGGCTTGCTGCAAATCTACCCAGCAACAAGGAAGTAGCCCCAGTACACTCCTCTTGCTCCTCCCCTCTCGCCCTACGGTATATATGTTGTAACAGCTCCCGCAATAAACGAGACTTGATCAGAAACCTGTCTTGTCTCCATCTCTCGTGTCCCCTGTCCCCTCTCATCCTCGCTCCCCCTCTAGGGTCTCCGTTGACTTACCCGCGGGCCGGGACACCTCTGAAGACAACAGTAGTCATCCTCAGGGACAGCAAGGACCCGCACTTCTCTGACTATGAGAACAGCTGAGTTTATATCAGAAAAACCATCTGTAGCAAGCTTCTCAGGAAAATCAACAGCATATAATCTTCCCCTCTAGCTCTTTTATGCCATTGGGAACAATTCTCAGGTGGGTCTTCCACACCCAGACCACTCTAGGCATACCAAGTTGACCATTAGTTAATCCATCACATGGTGTAAGATAACTAAATAAGTCCAGTAATTGGTTTAGCACAGTTCTGAGTGTAGATAATAAGAAGGCCCACCTGGGTGTGAGTGGAACCAACCAATAGGCTTAAATTCTGAATGGAATAAAAGGGGAAGGAAGGCTCACTGCTGCTGCTTTGCAGGCTTCTGCCTGCCACACCATGGACTGTTTCTCCTCTGCCTTGCCCCTCTGCCATGCCACCCTTCCTGGGAGCCAGCCAACTAAGGACTGAAATCTCTACAAACTGTGAGCTAAAATAAATCTTCTTTAATTTTGGGTGTTGAGTATATTGTCTCTGCAATGAGAAAAGTAACTAAGACAGTGAGGCCCAATAAGAGGTAGATGGATCAATGGGAGTAGGTTAATTATTGGGAGAGTGAGCTTAGCATAAAAGTAAGTTTTGACTCCTTTTATATCCTGTTATATCATGCTATCTTGCCTTTATGGTTTAGATCTAAAATGTTCCCCCAAACCTCATGTGTTCAGGAGTTGGGCTTTTAGAAGGTGATTGGATCACGGGGGTACTATACATGCCAGTGGATTTATCTATTGATGAGTTCATAGCTGAATGTGCTGTTTGGAGGTAGAGTCTGATAAGAAGAGAGAGGGCATTGGGGGAAGAAAGTTGAAGGGTATGTTCTTGTCCATGGCTCCTCTCTTCTTGCTCTGCTTCCTGGCTATAGTATGTTGAGTAATTTTACTACATCATGCCCTTCCACCATGCTATTTCTACCTTGGAGCCAGCCAACCATGGAGTGAACCCTCTGAAATCATGAGCCAAAATAAACCTTTCATTTGCAAGTGTCGTTCTTTTCTCCCAATAATGGAAAAATGACTAATACATTTGCCCTTCTGCCTCTGCTACAGGATAACACAGCAAGATAATTCTCATCAGAACCCAGAACCTTGATATTGGACTTTTTAGTATCCAAAACTATAAGAAAATAAGTTTCATATTCTGTACTATAGCCTGTAGTATTCTGTTATAGCAACACAAAACTGTCTAAGATAAATGCCAATCATGTAACCCATCCCCCCAATTGCTTGTGAGAGCTCTGACTCATAAGCCACATGTTCCATGATCAAAGATGAGGCAGACAGGCCTGGCAAGGGACAGAACCTGAAAGAGTACATCCAGGTGTCTTTTTTGTCAAGTGAGTTGGGAAAAACATCACTGGTCTTAGGAGCCAAACTAGATTGTTTCTTAAATAGCCTGACCTGTTAAATCCAGAGTTCAGTTTCCTCATCAGTGAAATAAAGAGGTAAACTAGATTATATTTAAGTTATTTTTAGCTATGATCTTCATCACTTGTAAATCAAGACTCCAAGGTGTATGTGAGCATGCCAACTCTACTTATTTCTCTGCCTCTTCTTCTTTGTATTTGATGAACATAGATCTAGGTGATGAGAGTAGAGTAGAAGACGAATTAAAATTATACTTCCACTGAACAGTTTAGTTTAAAACTTCTTTTATGTTTATTTCTTATAGCAATGTGCAAGAATACTAATTTTCCCAGTATTAAACATAAAGAAGTTGGGACACAATGAGCTTTCCCAGTTACTCAGCTAAGTAACAAATCTAAACTTTAAGCCAGACATTTAACTCTCAGCACCTGTATTAGTCAGCTTTCTCATTCCTGAGACACGATACAAAAACCCCATAGTTTAAAGGAGGGGAGTTTGAATTTGCTCATGGTTTGAGTTCTTGATCAGCTGGTTCCAGGGCAAAGACATCATAGCAGAAGGGCAGGGAGCAGCAAAACTTCTTTACACATGGTGGCTTAGAAGCAGAGCTGGGGAAGAAAAAAGGGAAGCAAAACAGAAGAGCCAAAGGACCAGAGGTAGACCCCAAGGCCATACCTCCATGACCTACCCAGACACACCTAAAAGGGTGCCCCACCAATCCCCTGGGATGGATCCCAAAGTCATTCATTTTGGAAATCCACCCTAATTCCCACAGTACCCTAGACTTTGACTGCACAACACAAGGGACACCTCTATTTCACCGATGCTGCGAGAGCCCTGACTTAATATTTATCCAAAGAAGAGGAAAGAGTACAGATAAAATTGTGAACTTGAGACAAAAATGTTTTTATTATTTTAGAATTAAGTTATAATTGATCCACAAGGAATCTAGTGAATGGGAAAACTATGTACAAGCAAAGCTGTCCAAAAGAAAATGAATTGCTTCGAGAGATCATAGACAATAGTCAAATTTGTAATAAATGAGCTGATGAGGAGACTGTAGGCTTCTGATAAGACTTACCCTTCAATCTCTAAAGAGATGTTATTTGCACTAGGTAGTTTGAGCTTATGCGGTAGGTTTTTCTTTTCTTACAAAATAAATAAATGATTGTATGTGCCATCAATGAACAATTGGAATTTGAAATTAAAGATGCAATACCACTTACATTAACCCCTTCCAAAAATGAAATTTTTATGTATAAATCAACAAAATATGTATAAAATCTATATGAGAAAAATTAAAATGTCTAACAAAAGAAATCAAAAAAGAACTAAATAACTGAAGAGTTATTCCATGTTCATGGATAAGAAGACTTTATATTGTTAAGAACTCACTTCTTCCTGAGTTATTCTATAGATTCACCACAAACGTAATCAAAATCCCAGCTAGATTTTTTATATTGAAAAACTAAGTCTAAAGTTAACATAGAAAAGAAAAAGAATCAGAATAGCCCACACAATACTGAAGAAAGGCAAAATAGGAAGACCGACTATGCTCAACTTCAAGACTTCCTATGAAGCTACACTAATAAAGACAAAATTATTTTAGCAAAGGAACTTACAGGTAGGTAAATGGAACTGAATAACACAGAAATAGAACCAAAAGATATAGGCAGATAATCTTTGACAAAGGAGCAAAGGTACATCAAAAAGAAAAACAAACTTTTCAATGAGTGTTTCTGGAATAACTGGGAATCTATATACAATAGTAAATATTTAAATCACAGACCTTATTTCTTTTATAGAAATCAATGTGAAATGGAACATAGATCTCAATGAAAAATAAAAAACCACAGAAAACAACAGGAGTAGATCTGAGTGTCCTTTACTTTGGCAATGACCTTTTAAAAATACAACACTAACAACACAATCTGAGAAAGAACAAGTTGACAAATTGGACCTCATTAAAATAAAAAATTTTGATCTGCAAAGATTCCATTAAGGGGATGAAAAAGACAATCCACAGACTGAGAGAAAATGTTTAAAGGCACATACCTGATAAAAGAGTTGTCAAATGTACAAAGAACACCTAAACCTAAAGCATGTGAAAACAACCTACCCCATTTGAAGTGGGCCCCAGATTCAGACACAAACCTCACCAAAAAAAATGTACAGAAGGAAAGTAAGCATATTTTAATTGTCATGTTAAGGAATTACAAATTAAAATTCTAGGAAAAGAAAAACATGTAACCCATTGCTACACACCCATGAGAATATCTAACAACTAAAGCACTGACAACATTAACAAGGATGAGGAGAGACCTCTCATTTATCACTGCTAGCGATGCAAAATGGTACAGCCACTTTGTAAGATGATTTGTCAGTTTCTTACAAAACTAAAGATACTCTTACCATTCCATCCTGCAATCATGCTTACAGATATGTACCCAAATGAGTTGAAAGCTATGTTCACACAAAAACCTGTATGCACACATTCATAACAGCTTTATTCATAATCACTAGAAATGAGAAGCAACCAAATTACTTTCAATAGGCAAAGTGATAAACAAACTGCCATACATCTATACAGTATATTCAATGATTAAAAAAAACCAAATGAGTTGTCCAAATGAGGAGACATGGAGGAACTTTGAATGCATACAGTTAAGTTTAAAAAAACCCATTTAGAAAACAGTTTATTATTCCAATTCTATGACATTCTGGAGAAGGTAAAACTATATAAACAGTAAAAGATTAATGGTTGCCAGAGGTTTCCAAGCAGGGAAGAAGTGGTACACAGGGGAGTTTTAGGGCAGTGAGATTATTACGATTCTATAGTGATGGATGCCAAGATATGCATTTCATTTGTCAAACCCATTGAACTGTATGGCACAAGGAGTGAACTTGTGTAAACAACAGGCTTCAGTTACTAGTTGTATCAATATTGGTTCATCAGTTCCTGGAAATATAGCACACTAATGCAAACTGTCGTTATCTGTGCAGGGACAGGGAGGGAGAAGGTGGTCGGTATGCACTGGGCTGCTTGAGCTGTACTGCAGCAGGCATGTTTGGAAATCTGGACAGAAACGTGCTCCTGGCATGTGAAAGCTGGCAGTAATTCTGTTTCTTCCAAAGAGGAGGTTCAAGTTCCTCTATGAAAGAAAAGAGAGTTTAGGGAAAAACACCTACAAGGCATTTCAAAGGAAATTTAAAGATCCTCTTCTAAAATACAGAGATACAAAACAACAAGAAATGGGTCACATGGGAGGTGTGTTTCTGGATGGCTAAACGGGACAGTGTTTAGAAGGAGCCTTCAGTACTGTCTCTCAAGGCCTCCAGATGGTTAAGAGCCTGGACCTACGTTAAAAGAAACCCACATATTCAAGGCTGCCCCTGGAAGAGTGATGAAGTAGCTTGGCCTCACACCTGGAGACAGATGAGTGCTAAGAGAGCACAGCAGTCTACGCCACCACTGTGGAGGGGCTTAGGTGGAAGACCCTAGCACCAACCGTATCTAGTAATATTCTCTCCAATGCTGTTTTTCATTGCGCGAGCCTTCAATCATGTTTTACAAACGTCACAAAAGAAAATGAAAGGGCAGACCTGGCTTTTGTTTAAGGAATAGTAGGGCAGAGGGAATCATATCTCTAAAGACAGTCAGACTTAAGGAAGCCAGAGATAACCCAAAAGTAAGCAAAACCCAGAAAGACAGGGCAACCTGTGAGGTGCACTGAATATTTACGTGGCCCCCATTCATATCTTGGAACCCTGACCTCCAGGGTGATGGTATCAGGAGACGTGGCTTTAGAAGGTAATTAGGTCATGAGAGTGGGGCCCTGGTGAACAGGAATAGTGTCCTTCTAATAGAGAACCCAGAGAGCTCCTCACCTTCTTTCTGTGCAGCGAAGACAGAGGGAGGATTCTGCTGTCTGCCTTTCTAAAGAGGGCCCTTCCCAGAATCCACTCACACTGCCACGCTGAACTCAGATTACCACCTGCCAGAACAGCGAGGGACAAATTTCTGTTTCTTATGAACCACCTGGGCTCTGACATTTTGTCACAGCTGCTGAAACTAAAACAAGACAGCTCTGTGTGATTCAGTGACACAGGCACACAGACCTTACAGGTCATGCAGGTTCTGAAGAGCAAGCGAATGCTGCAGGGTGCTGGAAGCCTCCCTGGCCACACCTAGAAAACACACAGCATTGGGATTCTTGGCACAGGCCTGGGGTGTGCAAATCTGTCTCAGAGTAACCCATTTCATTAAAACGAGCTCTACTTTTAAAGGTCATTTGATACTTTTGGGGGTGTCAGTTTGGTAGCAAAAATAGCAAATTTGGTGGCAAATTTGGCCTCAGTTTTTCAGCCAGGAAATGATCTGACAAACACTCAAGCATATATACACCAACACACACTCACACACGTCCCACCCTCATCTATGCCTATGCCAGGGAGATCGTGCTGTGTAGTTGCTGAAGGAATTCCAAAGTACGTCTTGCTCACTCTGAAGTTATTTTTCCTTCCCAGGCTTGAACACAAAATTGTGTTTTCTTATTTCTTTCTGTCCAAGTCCTGTGGATCTACTTAATAAGATTCAGACTTTCATTTTTTCCATCTCAGGAACTGAAGAAAGAGAAGTCTCCAGGGGTCAGCCCTGCTTGAATTCTCAGCAGACTTGACAAGGAAAAGTTCAAACATTATGGCCTCCAGTCATTTTCTAAAACAAACAAAACCGGAGCAAGCCTGGTAGGCACTTTCATGACTTACATAACTAAAATCTTCTCTTTCTCATTTTTTTTTCCTTTTCCTTCCTCCTCCATATATTCTTCAAAAACATGTGAGTCATGCTTGCACTTGGAACTGAATTGATCATTGCCCGTGCATCAGTGTGAAATGTCAGTACGTAAATTAAGTAAAATTTCTGGCTGAGGAGCTAAGTCGAGGTGGGGAGGTGCTGGAGCTATTTTTCCAGGTCTGGTTTTCCCATGGGAGGGAGGACAAGCTGAAGTCCAGGGCCATGGAGAAGAGGCAGTCATGGAGGACAAAACTCACATTGGAGGCTGGCAGACAGTGGAGAGGATGTGGGAAGGTGGAGCAAAGACATAGGCAGGGTTCCCTGGGGTGCAGCAAGGCAATGCATGAGCTGAGGCTGTCAGAGACCCTGGGCGGGGTCTACCTAAGATACCCATGTTTTGCAGGGGGACTGACCAGCTCCATGTACCCACCCTTTCCTCCCTGAGACTCTGCATCAACTGCTTCCCTTCCTCACCCGAAAATGGCTTGTCCCTAGGAGCAGACTCCTCTGCAGCCATCTCAGATGAAAGCTGCCCATTCTCCATGTGTCCCTCCAGGTTCCATGAAGATGTGATGGACGTGCTGGCTCCCCAGTGCCACCGCAGGGGCTGGTGTTCTTGTGTCAAATTTCTCTCCTCTTGAGGCTCTGTGGCAGGTGATCCCTAAGTGTTCTGCAAACAACTCAACCATCAGGAGCATGATAAGCATGAGAAACGTACAGGGAAAAGGTACAGAGCCATCCAGAGGGCACAAAGCAGGCAGGCTGAACACCTAAGCAAGACCAATTTTGGATTCTGCTTTTCTTTGTGGATGGGCCTCCTAAAATACTCCACAGCTGCTTTTCAGAGACCAGGTATAGCTGAGAGTCCAGGCAGTAAGTGAGGACTACTCAGAGCTGCATCAACCTGGGATCCCCAGGCTAACGTGGGTCAGCCAAGCTTAGAAGCAGCTGAGGCCCCAAGAGAAGTTTAGAGCAGAACCAAATCCACTGTATGCCTCGATATTTCTGCACACCTTGTGGTGGGAGCCAATCAGCTTCCTAATATACGAACCAGCATACTCTATAGCAGGGCCCCCTAGCCTGGGAGCCCAGAAGAGCCCCTGAATGCACAAGAGTCTACAAAGCAACCAAGAGTTCAAGGAACATTTCTATTAGCCTTAAAATCTTAACAGAACTTAAGGATGTACAGGGGACCCCAAATTTCCTTGTTTTTTTTTTACTGAAATTAGAACCGACTCAATGTGCTGACACTGTTCATGTGGATTAGAAAGCATGATCGGAGAATTATATTTGGATTTGATTGCATTTAAATGTGGAAATGGATCAAACATTAATCAACAAGTGTAGTCTGCTCAGTGAAATCTTTCAAAGCGTTCTGCACCTCACAAGGAGTGAATAAAGGAGGTGTGTTTGCTGTAGAAGGTTGGAAATCATTTGACAAGAAGCAAGAAAAAGCTGGCATGTTTCATCACCTCACTACATGGGGCCCGAGGCATAGCGCTCCCTCCAGTGGAGATGCTGATAATGTGTGTTAGTCCTGGCCTCTTAGGGAACCATGTAGCCTTGGGCCAAAGAAGCTGGATTACAAACCAAGCGTGTATCCCTCCTTTTTGCAGGAAGCATGCCTGAGAGTGATGAAAGAGTTATGAGGGAGTCCTCTGCTTAGGATTCAGCTGATTCCCTGTGTTTTTAATAAAAGCATATAAGCCAGAGATATTAATAAGCCTGGAGTTGAAACCCAACTCTCCCACTTAGTACATGCAAGAATTTGGACAAATGTAACAATGAGTGCGTGTAGCTACAAGCATCAAAAATGCCAATAATAGTGGCTTTAAAAAGTAGGATTTTTTCTCATAGAATACAAGATCAAGTATAGAAAGCTTGAGACAAAATAAATCCCTATTTATGAGCTTCATCAAGGAACTGAGATCCAGCTCACTTTCTGCTCTACCATCTGGGTGTGTATATAAATTCCCTACTCTCTGCAACACGATCATTTTTACCCCTCCAGCCACTGCATCTGCATTCCAGGTAGGAACGAGAAAGGAAAAGGATGTGCCAATTGGGCCTGTCTCTTTTCATGAACTCAACACGTGCTTATTTCAGTGAGTTTCTGCTTATATATTTTCATCAGCAAATTACAGGCACAGTGTGGGTGAAAATAAATTGACAAAGAACTGACACTGAAAGGAAACTTTAATCAAGTTTATAAACATAAGTATCTTCAAATATAAGGGAGCACTCTGAAATTAAAAGGCAACAAATTCTGTTAAAACTCAATATGTTGAAATCTTTTTAAATGTGTTCATTATAGTAATATACAGTAATATTTTTAAAGGACTTAACAAAAATGAAAAGAGAGAAAGCCAGAGGGAAGGCGGAAGAAAGAAAGGAATGAAAGAAGAAAGGTCTTAGGTTTTGAAAATCGGTAAATAAAAATAAACATAAGCAAGTACTTGCTCTGCCTTTTCTACACCAAGTGCGTGTGAGGGTATTCAAAGGCTTCCTGAGAGGAGTTCTCTTGACAGATGTATTCTGGCCTTTAGGAAATGAAGAGTGAAAAATTGAAAACCCACATTTTTTGAACATGAATGAAATATAATGGATCTAGTGAGGACCATGAATGGGTGCTAACCTTACAGAAACAGAGCCCATTAGATATGATGGAAAGATATACCACAATTTGAGGACTCTGGTATTCCTGCCAAAAAACTCCAGCCTAACACTATCAAGTTTCAAGATCTAACTACCCAGGTACAGGAAATGGAGGTGCAGGGGAATATACTAAATGATGCCACAGGGATTCGGTCAGCAAAATGCAGAATGTGGGAAAGTTTACAGGGCAAATGAGTAGTTTTTCCAATAAATAAATTGCAAGTGGAGAAAAGATGACAAATGGAGGGAGATGAGATTTCTAAAACTAGAGCCACATTCAACAATTGCAGTGCCTGAGACTCACTTGACTGATGGAAAAATTCTTTAAAACATGAAATAAATTCCATAAACTGAACATTGGTCTAACGTTGCATTCTTGTAAGTAATAATTGTGTAGATATAAAAGTAATGTTGCTATGATGTGTCCTTAAGGGTACTTCCCTATTATATATGTGGTGAGACTCATATGGATTAAATTATACGATATCTGGGATCTGCTCCAAAATAATCCAGAGGAAAAGGGAAGTAGATGGATTCGTGGATGACGAAATATTATCCCTGAGTTGATAATTGCTGAAATTGCATCATGAGTACATTGTGGGTCCATTACTGCACTATTTTTTCAACATGCTTGGACTTTAGAAATTTTCCGTACTAATTTTTAAAATATGAACTACCCTCAGAATGAATAGCATTAGGCAAAAGTATTGAATTTAGCCCAGGATGAAGGGAGAAAATCATCCTGCACCAATTGCTTTCTTCATCAGACTGACTGCAATTCCTCCTGGGGTCCCCTTGAGGAGGCTGAAGTCTTTGCTGGAACCTGAGGACCCTCATTCCACCAAGCTACAGTATAATAAGTTATGGTTTCCGTTCGAGTTTTTGTTATCATCTTTACAGAGTTTTGGGTCTAAAAGGTCTCTTCAGATTTTACAGTAAATACTTAGAACACACAATGGAATGTCTTTCAGCCTTAAAAAAGAAGAAGATTCTAACACATGCCAGGAGGATGAATGGATGAACCCAGAGGACATTACGCTAAGATACAAACACTAGTCATAGAAGGACAAACAGTGTGTGAATCCACTTCCACAAGGCATTGAATAGAGCCCAGCTCAGAGAGAGAGAAACCAGCTGGTGCTTACCAGGGGCAGGAGGGAGAGGGGAATGGGTCATTGTCTAATAGAGTTTGTATTTTGTAAGATTGCCAAAAGTTCTGCAGATAGATGGTAGTGTGGGAAGCACAACATTGGAATGTAAATTTCATTTTATTGGTATGTTATCACAAGTTTTTAAAATTACAACTGAGGTTAAATGCCACCAAGGAGAGGCCAATAATAGCCATTCAAGTGGGCACTACTAGCTGCCTCCTGGAGTCTGTTCCCCATTGTCCTCTTCTAATAATCCCAATTTTGTAGACATCAGCAAGTGATTTAGGAGAGACTAATGCTTCTTCTACTGGTAGTAGTGGATTCCAGTTATTCCAAGCCAATCACGGCATGACACTTTCCAAACAGCTAGCATTGGCCTGAGGAGTGGCTTGGGTTATGAACTATGTTTGTCTGACCATAATGAAGTAAAGCCTTTATATTGCAGGGTTGGAGGAGGTGGAAACAAGGGAGCATGATGGCCCTGTTCCTGCTGGCAGTGATACTGTGAACAGAAGTCTTTTTAGGCTGAATGTAACATAGGGAACAAATCATGGAAAAACTTAAAGGACACTGCTACATAAAGATTTTGGTGACATTGGTAAACCACAGAAACAACCAAATCTGTAGTTTTTCCAACTACTGGTCTTACTGTTATGCCAGACAGCCCACACCATTATATAACCAGTTGAAGATGGATCTCTGATAGTATATCCCACACGGTCATATCTCAAGTAATAATGCCAAAGAAGTAATGACTAGGAGCAACTAGCCTAATTATAGAAGTCAGGACAAGTAGCATCCAGGCTGAGGCAATAGCACCTAATGTTCTGTAGCGAAAGGGAACAGAATTTTGTCAAGGAATTCCAAGAAGTGAAAGAAATCCAGACTGACAGCAGCACAGAGGGAGGTTGGGGGTGAGTACTGATAGAAAATGAGGTGGAGAGACACAGGAAGCTGGTCCCCACATGCAGGGCCCATTGGGGTTTTGCTCTTAATCTTAGCGAGAGTCAGATGCCAAGGGAGTGCTTTATGATGTTATGAATATGAGATCAGATTCACTTCCAGGTGAACGATGAAATGTGGAGAACCGATTGGAGCATGGCTGGGCTGGAAGCAGAGAATCAAGCCTTTTAGGCAAAAATGATGCCAGCATAGTCTCGGGTGCTGCTTGTGGAGATGAAACAAAGTAGAAGTCATTTGTGGAATTTCTGAAAGGTAGTATCAGTGGAACTTAGCTGTGGTCAAATATATGTTGTGGAAGAAAAGAACATGAATCAGAGGGATGTTCTAGATTTCTGGATGTAACAGGGAGATTGCTTTTAGGCCAGCAGGAGACAATGCCCAGATTTTCAGGAGAGAGATCCTGTACTATAAGCAAGGATAGAACTAAAACTTAATTTAAGTAGTACTATTAATTATAATTAATAGAACAGTAAAGGTTACCATTCAGCAAGCATTTATTAGAGGACAGAATCTACACAGTGTGCTCCACTGTATACTGCACTGCCTTCAGGCATAATAGCACCAATTCCTTTTCCACGATGTGATCTTTCCCTGCTCCCATGAAGATATAGTATTTTTGTTACCACCCTCAGTCTCAACAGGTTTGTAACTGCTTCTATCATATCATAAAAAGCCATAGAGCTTCTCACCAGTTCTGTAGGGACACTTATTCTAGGGGAAACCAGATTGTGTAAGTGGTCCAACAGCTCTGAGACCTTCAAGCTATGGAGCTCACATAAAGATACCCAGGTTGTGGAACACAGCTGAGCTCTCTGCCAACAGTCACCACTAACTCACCAGTCAGCAGAGTGTGCCATCTTGGAGATACGTCCTCCACCTCCGGTCTCATCCCCCGTGTGTTGCCATGGGAACCATCCCTGCCCAAAAGAAAATAAATCTGTGAACACAATAAGTGATTGTTGATGATCTTTTAAGTTATGAAGTTTGGGAGTTATTAGTTACAACCCCTGGCCACTGCATAGGTGGGAAAAAAATTCAGGCTGAGAGAGATTAATGTTGTTTGCTCAGATCACGGAGCTAATGAAGACAAAAATCAGAATTCTAACTAAGTCTATCTAGTCAGAACCTGAGCTGTTTTGTAAACCTCACTGTTGCCTCCGTTTTGGTGACATCCTCAAATTAAATTGCTATTTCTGTCCAAAATCTCACACCTTTTTCCAAAACATGGCTTTAAACCCTCACCTCAAAAAATGCATCTAGGAAGTAGTAATCTCTTCAGCTGAAAAACAGCAGCCCATTAGTACAGTAAAATATGGACAATTTCAAGCACTTAAAAAATATTCCTTCTATGCCCCATCTCTTTTCACAAGCAGCAGGGAATTGATATGAAATTAAAACAGACAACTTCCGTTTTCTTTCAGGAGAGATTTATGGCCCCTGTCTACAGAATTTCTAGCTGTGAACTGAACCGTAAAACAAAATGTTTTAAAATAATATATTTAAAGCAAAGCAGTGTTATGTACAATTAATGTAAAAATGATCAGATGTGATAGTTGCTGAGTAAAAGTAAAATGGAGAAATATGAGCTAGAGGAGTGTAATGGCATTTCACGAAGCACAAGCCGTCAGAGAGGAGCACAAATCAAAGAAATAATCAGGCATATTAATGACTTCGAAGTAACTTTCTCCTACTAACCAGATATCCTGCGGTAGCATTTGATCCCTTTGCCTCTGCCTCAGCCCAACCCGGAGGATTCCATCTTCATGCCCTGCAGCCACTCTGAGGGTCTTCTCCTACCCCTCACAGGCAGCATTTCACCAGCACCCAGGCCCCAGCCCACCTCCCCCTTTTTGCCAGGGTCAACCCTCTGCCCACTGCCACCCCTGTCTAGGGTAAAGCTTGCTCATGCTGTAGGTTTCCGTTCACAGGCCAGCTCCTTGGAGTGCCATTTCCTCGGGTGTCTTCCAGCCAGCTACAGGGTACTGATCTTCAGAGGACCCACAAAACACCAAATGCAACCACGTGGTAGTGCCCTGACGCCCCAAGTTAGCCCAGTGAGGTTCAGAAGCACACTGCAGAGCACTAGGTGCTGGAGAGACGACAGAGATAAAGACAGGCAACCCCTGCTTCCGGAGACGAAGCTGAAATCGGGGCTTCTCGGCTGGATGGGAATATCTTCTCCCCCAGCAGCGGTTCGGCAGTGTCTGGAGCCATATTTGCCTTGCCATGCCTGGGAAAAGTGCTACGGCATCCAGTGGGTGGAGCCCAGCGGCGCCGCGACACATCCCACATCTCCCAGGACAGCACCTACCACGAGGAAGTATCGAGCCCAAAATGCCAGCCACACCAAGGCTGAGAACACCTAACCTTACGTAATCAAATGGGTGAGTAAGAGCATTTCAGGTTTGAGAGCTACGCAGGAAATAAATATGAAGGAATATGAAGAGCTCTGGAATAAGAGAGGAGCAGGCCTCTCAAGAGAAACTGGGATCAGAAAATGAAGAAATCAAGCCTCTCATTTAGTAAGTTTCTCACTTGAGACCATGACTTAGGTTTACATTCTTTATAAAATGTCTGGCACAGCCATGCACACAATGAATGAATGATCTTTGCAGAACATGACTAAGACGATCAGGAGCTGAGCTTTGCCAGTCTAAGGTGATTTAGGGTAGTGTATTAATTTCCTGGAACTACTACAACAAAATGCCAGAAACAAAGTGGCTCAAAACAATCAGAGTTATTCTCTTGCCATTCAGGAGGACAGAAATCCAAAACCAAGGTGTCGGCAAAGCAGTGCCCCTTCAGAAACTGGGTAGAATCCTTCCTTGCCTCTCCCACCTTGTAGGTGTAGCCACCGGTCCTTGGTGTGCCTTAGCCTGCAGCTGTATCACTCCAGTCTCAGCCTCCCTTGTCACATGGCTTTCTCTGTGTCCCTCTCTTCTTATGTGCACATAAGTCATATTGGATTGAGGCCCACCCTAACAACCTAATCTTAACCTGATTACATCTACAAAGATCCTATTGTACACAGATGCCAGGGGCTAGGATTTCAGTACACATCTTTTTAAGGACACAATTCAGCCTACTCCAGGGACAAAGAATACTGACTTCTAGACCTAAAACAAACAGATCAGCTGCAAATAAGAGCCATGCTAGCTGAGCTCTGGTGGACAAAAATGGCTGTGAAGCACCTAATAAACTCAGAGCCAGATGCAGTGACAGCTCTGCATGTTAACACTGCCACGAACTGGTGCAGGTAGTGGGCCTGGTAATGGCCATACCTCCCTGCCATTCTTCCCTCTGGCTCTTGTTTGTCACTTAGAAAATAGAAGATGATGGCAGATGCTTACCTCTCCCCAGGGACTTGCAGTGGCTGAGCTCTTTCTCATACATCCTCAAGCCTGAGCCGCCTGTTATCCTATGAGCAGACAGGCCCAGGACTGTCACCCCACCTCCCAGCGGTGCAGCTTCATCATCCATCAGGGGCTGACTGTAATGCTAATCCTTACTGCTAGGGCCCAAATCCCACAGAACAGCATAGGAAACACCAGACACACAGTGAGGAGTCAATAAATTTCATGTAAATAAATTAGTAAACTTAGTAGACTGTCTGGGATGAACATAACTTAAATTTCCTCTTCTGAACTCAGTTTCCTCTAATTTTTAAATAGAATTACTGAAATCCCCATCCTCCATGTTGTTCCAGGGAAGGTAAAACCCTCCTGTAGACTCTGTTGCATAAGAAGGAATTGCTGGTCTGCTCAACCTCCAGCCTGGGGCTTCTCCCTTCTCATTTCAAATGTTCCAGCTGCCTGATTTCTGTTCTATCTCTGCATCTCTTTGCCGCAAACATGGGAGAAGCCGCTCCATCATCATTCTTGGGCACCGTCAAATACAGTGCTTCCATTAGAGAAAGACTGTAGAGCAAGCCATGGTGGTCTCAGATGTGACTCTTTCTATGGTTCATCAGCCAAGTCCTCCCAAGCCATCTCTCTCTGGGGCACACTCATGCTGCCATATGAACTGAGACCTGGAATCTCACAAGTGACCTTCTCTCCTAATTATCTGCCTCAAACCCCAGTAACAGGTTTCAAATACCACCCTTTGCTAGCTCACTGGCTCCTACTCTCTTAAGATTCTAAGATCCCCAGGAATAACCTGAAAAGTCCTATTGTTTTATTATATAAGCCAATTTTAGATCCATTTGGTTAATCTCTCCATTCCAAAATAGGCTCAGGAGCCTCATATTTTATAGTCAAAGACCCATTGGATAACAAAAAATGAATGAATTCTGCCACTGTCCCCTACTAACCTCACAATACAGAAATGACTGCAGCCAGATTTTATAGAGAAATTCTTCCTTGACAGTACACAGAGTAGGTCTTTAATACCTATCAGTTTCTCATGTGCAGATCAGGAAATGGGAGCCAAAGAGGTTAGTTGACTTGGCAAAAGAGTTCAGTTGAGCAACCATGATCTACTTGGAGCAAAGCTCAGGTAAGTGGCTCACCTGGATCCAAAGCCAGGCCAGGTGATCTTGCACCATTCTAGCTGTGTGTGCCTCAAAATGTCTGTTGGACACTGCTGGACACTGCTGGACTATCAGCTCTTTAGGGAATCTGCCCTGCTACAGAAGGGTCTCTTCTTGGCCCTGAGATGTTCATTCAGATGACAAACGCCTACGTTAGTCTACCACCCTCCCACCTCTGGCTTCATCCCTCTGTGAACCTTCATGGAACTGATCTCACTGCTCATTACCGTATACTGCACCAGAGTTCTTAGATACCAGTGACAGAAATAGTCACTGTCCACTTTGGGCAGAAAAAGAATGCATTAAAGGGTACTTCTGCTAACAGAACTTGTGAGTGGGATGGAGAATCAGGATTGCAAGTGCACAGCCAAGAGCAACACCTCAAAGAAGAAAACAGAAAAAAAGAAGAAATCTGGAGTTACTTATCAAATAGGGTAAAGGGTGGAACAAATAGGGAAGGGGAAGATCTCACGGCCTAAGAACTAGATGTGACAACCCAAGCAAATGATGATGAGTGTCTGAACTTATGAAGGGTGTCCTCAGGTATTGCTGAGATGGGGAGATGTGGACAGATTCAAGAAACACGGAAGGGGACATTGACGGCACCCGCAGGTCAGTTAGTGAGGTTAAAAAGCTCACTTAGTGAGCCTTCTTAGACCATTCTTTCGTGGCCTTGTGGGAAAGAGAGGTGCAATGGCCCATGGGTCAGGGAATACAGTTAGAGGCCGGGTGAGCAGTGGATGATGGGCAGACAGGCTCAGACTGAGACATGCTGAGGTGCAGATCTCACTGTGAGGTATCCATCGGCAGACGGAACGAACCCTAAGGAGAGACCTTAGGAAGGAAGCACAGAATGGATAGCTCAGAACATGCTGGTGTCTGCAGGCAGTGGAGTGCGTGTAACTGTTTGAGAAGGGATCGTAGAGAATAAAGTGGGTCAAAGCCAGAGCTGAGATGGCTGACTTCTCTCTGTTTGTGTGGGATTTTTCTGGCTTTGGAACTAAAAGTTCTGTCACAGAAAACCCCTCGGTCTCAGACGAGTCAGAACCCACCACATAGGGAGTAAAACACAACATGATAGGGAGAGGCTTTGCCCCCAACAGCTAGTGTGGTTGCAAAATCATGACTGGAACCCAGACCTCCTAACTCCTAGGCCACTGCACTTTCTTTGTTTTCTGCCAGGCAAGAGCTAAGCTGAATGAAACGAATAGAAAAGTAAAGGATTAGAGTCTAAATCCTAGGCTACTTATCCACTAGTTGGATGACCTAGGGCAAACTAGTTACTCTCTCTGAGCCTCACTTTTCCTGCCTACAAAAGCACAAAGAACAATCCCAAGCTGAAATGTGGGATCAAATAAGACCATAGGGGCCATAAAAAATGGAGCT